CTTGTAGCTTGTGTCTCTATATAATTTTAGAAATTGATTAAGATTTTTACAGTGATATATAAACTTATTGAGGATATAAAATGTTTTGAGTAGAAGAAAAAATTATGTTAATCTCACATTAAAAAAATTGTAATTGTTAAGTTATTTGACAAGAACTCCCTTATGCTTAAAAGGTTAATGATTAGACAAATAATTTTGAGACATTAGGCATTACAATAACCCATTAAATATCCAAATGACTTTCCCTTCAAATTAGTTAACTACATGATTAAACCCTCTAAATCATTGACTTTACCAAATTTGTTAACATATTTTTATCTCATTTTATAGTTCATGTAATGTCTAAATCAATTTTACTTACGCTCTAACTAATTTATTTATTTATTATTTGTCTAATACAGTTTAAACTATTTAGGTTGAACATAAATAACAAATTTCAATTTCTTTAGATTGTCACGTATGCTTAAAGATTAAATAAGTTATACATGTACATGTTGTCTGTCCGTATAGATACATATATACATATATATATATAAATGAGTAAGATTAAGTATGAAGTCATAGGGGGGGGTTGTTCAAATGTGAAGAGGGATTTATAGAAGTGAATATATTTATATATATATATATGTATGTTAGAGCTTAAAATTAGTCAAAAGAGCAGAGTGACTTTTGGTTGAAAATAATAGCAAGGTTTAGGAATATTATTTGAATAATCTAAGGTAGGAGGATAAAAGCATGGCGCTGGACCCAGTCGGTTTGACTTTTGCGTTTACCTCCCAACCGGTGTCATCTCATCTAGAATTTTGACTCACAATTATTAATTAATTAATCCTGATTAATTAATTAATTAGGTGAAGTTGATGTCTATCTATCTCCCTTGTTCATAATTGTTATGACTTTTTTGCCATCCATGGAAGTCCCTGGAATCAGGGTCAGTTGACTAGGTCTGTAGCCGACGTTCACCGACGCCAGGTGTGTTAGAAATTAAAAATTAAATAACAATAAAGATTGGGTATTTATATTAAACAAAATTTATCAATTAAATTAAAAATTTAAATAAGAAATTTATTATAAAAAATCACAGTATTATCTCATAGTCTGGAATTAATTTTTTTAAATGGTTTTGTCAAGATTGGAGAGATGAAGCCCATAACTAAGAAATTTATTATTATTATTATTATTTTTAAAAGAAAAAGCCCAAGTTGTTTACATATTTTGCAAGCTTGGATGGGCCAAGTAGCCTTTTGGGGCAAGTTTAGTTTTTAATTGGGCGAAATGAAAGGAATTTATTTCTCATTCTCCAAATGGGAGAAAACATCCTTATTACTAATAGTGTAAACCAAATGACATATTAAAATAATCATTTTTGTTGCCTTTAATTTCTTTAATTTTTATTTATTCAAACAAAAAAGTCATTTTCTCTTTTTATTCATCTATAGTTCTTTTACTTCAAAATATTGTTGTTAATTAGATCGACATCCAAGAAAGTATAATGAAGAAATTACAATAAGATGCTGAGTATATAAAAATATATTTTCAGAGACTTTTTTACTTAATTTTATTTATTAAAATATAAGTTTATAATAGAGTAATCGTTTACATTATATAAAGATCCATGTGATAATAAATATATTACTCCTACTAGTGATGGCTTTATAAACATTAATATTGGAGTTCTTTTCACTAGGGAATCCTCTAAGTAGGGGTTCTAGGATCTAGCATAACCTATATAAATATATTAAACTCATTAGGTATGGGTAAATTTATAATTGATAAATAATTGTAGCATACGATTCTAAAAAGACACTTGGGTGAATGGCCAGTCGCTCATTTCAGGTGTCTAAAGCCAGGTGATCAATGAGAACCTTGATCGTATTGTTGACTCTTATGTCCATCCAAATGGCTCTTGAAAATATGAGGAGTTCTCAACTCTCTAACCACACAAAACTTGCCTTGGGATATCCTAAGAACACAAGGATATGACCAATAGGACCCTTAAGTTGAAAAAAAATCATTTTCGGTGACAAGAAAATTAAGGTGAAGATCACTTATAAGTATATTAGAATAATCATTATAAAATAATTTGGACTCTTTTGACTCTTGAAAGAATACAAAAATTCATATAATTACTAACTTTTGGAAGTATTCTTACCAATCAAAAAAGAGAACATCACCACTTTAAGTAAGATGACAAATGTCCTAAATGTTATAGAGAAAATGAGAGCATAATCCATGCACTAAGAGACTCTCCAATGTCAAAATAGGTATCAAATAAGCTTATTGATAATATATATATTAATTTTCTTCTCCATTTCTTTTAACATGTGGATAATCTAGAACCTAAATAAGGAAGCTAATACTCATGGTATTGCAAGCAGGTGAGCAATATTTTCTATTATCGTCTAAATTTTTTGTAGGAGGAAGAACGAGTTCATGTTGGATAATAAGGATTAATTCAAGATCCCTTCAAGTTATGAGATCATCAACCTTGCTTAAGAATTTCAGAGGACCCAACATCATATCAACCATCATCCGAATATGAGAAGTAGTAACCACAGCCTCAAGGTGCTCTAGGTAACCCCAATGCTTCATTAGTTCAATCTCAACATGGATCACTCTACCTATATGCAACTTCGAGAGTGTTTTTATTGGAGGATTCATTTCTGGCAACGGTGACAATTAGGTTGTCAGTTTCATACATCATGTTGGACATCGTATCTTGTTCTAGACTCATAGAGAATGGGTGTGCTTAAAGGTCTCAGAGTAGCGTATGAGAAGTGAATTAAGAAGTTGATCTTCGAGATAGGTTCCCTCTCCTTAATCTATTGGTTGCAGAGGCTCAATAGACTTGACACACCTACCACAAATGTTGATGTTCAAATAAGAGATATTCTCATGGGAGATTGAGAGGTCTAAATATCCCATGTTTTTTATAAAAGCTAATACGTGTACAGAAAAACTTGCCAATTGGGCATAATCTATAAATAAAAGTTTTGTTAGGCTTGATCATGCTTATGAGGCTCTTTACTAGTTTAATTGTCTTATTTTAATGGTATTGCATGGACTATACTAAATGCCCTTAGTGTGTAATGCTTTTTTTTCCTTTAAAGCTAAAAAAAAAAAAAGAAACACTGTAATTTTTCAATCATTTAATAATACCATAATTGTTTCATATTATCAAAAGTTTCATACCTTTACTTGAAGTTATATACCTTGTTGTCATTTTGTTATTATATTTGGTACATACTATTAAGTGGTCATGCGATGTTTGTATATTCTTTAAAATTTAGTGGTAGTTATTCATTATGTGAGGACAATCAGAACTATATGGTAATATTATTAGCTACTATCTATATATATTTGTCAAAATGTAAAAATATATAAGAAGTTTCTTAATGGCCAAAATACCTTCATTTTTAACTTTTGGAAAATATTCAAATTACACCTTAAATATTTTTTTGGGTTTAAATTAGCTATTAAATTTTAAAAATGTTCAAATTGCACCATTGATTGTTGTTATTATTAGTGCTATTAATAGCAGCCACATATATTTGTCAACGCATCTAAGTAGATACCATTTTGATATCATATCATAACCAAGCACATGACATGTTTCAACATCTAAAGCTTGGCTCCAGTCATACTCCCACTCATATTAAGCACAATTACCAAATCAATAGGCCTAGAAGTGAAGGGTTTAAAACCAACGTCACATTATTGCCTCTTCTTGTTGTTGGTGGCAGTGGTAGTGGTGCTTCACCCTCAATATGACAATATAAGTTTTGCAGTTACGACCAATCGATATAATAATATATTCTAACATAAGTCTAATATGAACGTCTTTTTTTTTAACATTAACCATTAAGGGGAAGCTCATCAGATTTGGTAAATGATGCATTATTAAGATTGATAAAGAATCCTTTAAACTCCCCCATATCGTCGTTTTCATCCTCTTCGTCAGCATTGTTGTTTGTTTCACGAACGGGGATAAAGTGAACACTAGCAATCAATGAGACCAATGACTAGTCATCATTGTAGGTTCTCAAATTGAATGGGCTAGGCATCAGTAGTTGTTCAAAATCTTGTTTGTTGGCTATTTTAGGTGAAAATTTAGTGACTACTTTATTTTGAATTTATTATTAATTTGATTGTTATGGATTGAACCGGATTCATTTTAATAGGGTTGGGACTATTACGTGGTAAGATTTTGTGGGCGATAAAGAGAGGGATATTTTTTCAAGTAACATTACGGACGGGACATACCAAGGTGCCATTCTTTCGAACATGATCTGCTATAGAGGGAAAATGAAAGACATGTGAGCTTTCGGCTGTATAAATAGTTGTGTCTTGACCGAAACTTATATTTGTCACGTGTGAAAATATGGTGTCTACATGATATTTGTTTATGTATATAAACAAACCCATGTAGGCGCTATTGGTTGCATTAATGACAATAATGGTCGATGTACAATTTGAAAATTTTTAAAAGTTTATGGTTAATTAAATCTAAAGAAAAAATTTATAGTGCAATTTAAATATTTTTTTGGAAGTTAACGATGAAATAAAAATATTCTAGCATTTTATTAATTAGTACAATTCTAAAAATAAAATATGACAATCTATTTTTGAAGGTTTGACAATTTCTAGAACACAATTTTTATACACTTTACGTAACGTATAAGTTTTTAATCAAAATCCATATTTAAATCATATATAATTTGGGTTAAAATCATTACTTGAAAAAATCATATACATTGTGGGTAAAAATAATTTTTTATGTGTTTGATAAATACTTTTAATTAATGTTATTATTACTTTTCATTATTTTTATTTATTCATTAGGCGAACAATTAATATGTTAGATTGATTAAATTAAGCATTTTAAAGACATTTTAAGTCTTTCCTTCATCAGAATGATTTTAAATTAGAATTTTGAAAATTAAATTCCCTTTAATTACTAATTTTATTTATATATCAAAATCAAGATTTCATAACCACATTCAACTCCCCACGCGCAAGGGTCGTAGGCGGCACAAACTTTTGGTCAATTGCTCTCCCTCTCTGTTTCTCCTCATTTCTTGTCGCCGTTAAACCCTAACTTCCAAATGATCCTACACTCGGTACTAATTTTTAGCTGGTAGCTTAGCTTGACGAGAAATAGATCGTCTGTGGAGATGAATACTACAACAACTCGGAACAAATGGGCGGAAACAGTCATCTTTTCGGGGTTAGTATTTTCAAGCTTTTTACTAATTTCTGAAGTATGTGTCTGCTGGTTTCAAATTCTCACGTTTAATAATGTGAAATAGGATCCTTTTGTAGCATATTGAAGTGGATTTATCTTAAGAAATGGACAGGAATCGTGTTCTTTTGATGGGTCTTTTCCTGCTACTTGTGGCGGTTGATTGCTCTCTTGACGATACAAAGGTAAATATCACGGCTTTAAAACCCAACAGGAGTGTATTTTCTTATTCGAATAGACTAAGTCTTGAAATCTTTTCATTAAAATAAGTTGCTCAATGTAGGTGGATGTAACTGCAAAGAGTCGTTTAGATTCAAATATAAATTCCACCATTGGATCAAATGTTGAATCCGATTTGGTTCAGAACTCTACTGGTGTAGACATAGTAAAGGGAAATGAAAAGCATCAATTGGATGGATCTAAGGAGGGAATGGAGAATGCCACAAATAAGACTAATTTAGATGATCAGCCGGCCGCAAAAGAAGCGGATCATGTTCAAAAGAGAGAGATTGATTTAAGTAATCAATCTAAAGGCCAGCATGATGAGAAAAAAGGGAAACCAGGTGATATAGTAGAACAAAAGGAAGGGACCAAAGAGAAGGGACATGAGGTGAAAACAAAGTTCAGGACACCTTCGAGGAAAGAAGGGGCCCGTGGCGAGGAATGTGATCCATCTAATATGTGTACGGATGAGAAGGATAAGTTTGTCGCATGTCTAAGGGTTCCGGGAAATGGTATCCTTTCTCTGTTTTGGGAATATTTTCGGTTACTAATTTGTGGCTTGTATTAGTTGTTTATGATATTTTCCTTCATTCTGTTTGCTGTGCCAATTTGTTTTCTGTAGAAAGTCTGCAAATTTGTGCATCTTGGGAGAAAAAATGCCAATGGTCACAATGATTGAGCATGCCGGAAAGTGGTCTTGAATCATTGAGCTTTTGATTGGTGAATTAGGATTAGGATTACATGATTTTCTTGTTTGTATTGAACATGGGGATCAGGTCTGCCATGCAATCTAGGAAAGTTTAATTTGCATATTGAGGAATTTGAGAACAAAAAAAAATATAAATGTTACGCTAGGTTTCTTAGAAATCGCATCTAAGAACTCTTGAGCATCACAAGAATCTGATTACATCACATAATCAGAATTTTAGAAACCCTCAAAGTATTTCATTGAATCACTGAAGTTCGTACCACAAAGTGACGAAGATATTTGTAATACTTCCTAGGTAATATTCCTAGATAGGATTAGACTAGAGGAAGAATAAGATTATGAAATATTACTACTAAGAATAATAAGAAACCCAATACTAAAAAGAATGAAATTCTAAAGTTACCAAAACAATAATGATAGAATATTGTTTTCTTTAAAATAAAAGAATAATTATAGAATATTGTACTCAATAGATTATAATTTCTAATCTATTTAGGCAATCCAGATATAGCCCATTCTGTATTATTTGAATTATGATATCGACATACATTACAAATTTAATGTTTTAAGAAATTTGCCATCTTGTTTTATTAATATGTAATATCTTTCAGTGATTCATTTGCAATTCTTAAATTATGTGATTACTAAGGAATGTGATATATATCTTGGTGTTTTTTTCCTTATGTACCAAATAGAGTTTGGAGCTTCTTTCACATCCAAATTGGTGATGCAGTTTGGTTTTGTGTTCACACATTTGTTATAGTTAAAGAATTGCTCTATGGGGTGTGAAACTTTCATATATTTTTGTTACTTTCTCTTCTCCTCCTCCCTCCTTCCTCTTTTGGTCTGTTCAGTTAACATGGAAAATTCTGAATATAATGTCTGTACTTGATGCAGAGTCACCAGATCTTTCCCTCTTAATCCAGAACAAGGGGAAAAGCCCTCTTAACATTAAAATATCTGCTCCTGACTTTGTCCGGTTAGAGAAAACTGAAGTTCAGCTTCAAGAGAAAGAAGACAGGAAGGTAGTAATAAATGACCGAAATCCATTAAGATAGCTTTCAGTGATATTTAGTCTTTTTGCACATGAATGGCAAGTCCGTCCTAACCATATCAGAGGTTCTGCTTACTATACGATCACTATGGAAAGAAAGTTATGAAATTATGTAGGAAGGTTAGGTCTTTTGAAAGACAAAAAAAAGTGAAAGAAAGAAAGGAAAAAATTTATGATATCCATTGACACAAGTATCATGTTGTCAGAAGTCAAGGTTGGAATTGGAGTTAATTAAATTCAAATATAAAAATCATTTTGTAAGTACATACTAAGACTTGCAACACAAACAACATGTACCAAGATTAATGGGAATGGAATGGGAAATGAACTAAGCTTGATCTTCGGTTTTTTTCTTTTTTAATATTTTTCTCTTGGAGGTCTGGGAGTTTCTAGTTGAATATCTGTCTTAGAAGATGTCTATTAAATGCTAGGATATCAATTATGTATAATGACATTCAGCATAAGTTGTCTGTAAGAAGTTACCATTTCGAGCTTTTACGTGAAAAAGTTAATCATAATCAACCTAAATAGTCACTGTATATTCAAATGATGCAGGTGAAGGTTTCTATTAAAGATGGAGGAACAGGTAACTTGATTGTTTTAACAGCTGGAGAAGGCCATTGCGGCCTTGATTTCAAGGATTTGATTTCACGCAATCTTGCAAAGGAATCCCATACTTCTACCCAGTCCACATACATAATCCATCAGTCACGGATCCCTGTTATTGCATTTGTTATCTTTGCTTCCCTTCTGATTCTGGCATCAGCTTGGATGTACATGACTTTTCGTCGTAGGCAGGTCTCAAGCAATGTTGGTAAATACCAAAGGCTTGATATGGAGTTCCCAGATTGTGGGGGGACAAAGGCAGACTCGGACACGAATGATGGATGGAATGACAGTTGGGGTGATAGTTGGGATGACGAGGAAGCTCCCAAAGCACCCACAACGCCTGTTACTCCAAGTCTTTCCTCCAAGGGCCTTGCTTCTCGACGGCTGAACAAGGAGGGATGGAAGGATTAGTCAACCTCCGTTTCATCATAGAACGACAAAGAAAGGGAGAGAGAGAGAGATGGTTGACATAGGTTCTTCATCAAATTGTTTGTTTAAAATTTACAGGTACACCTTATATTTCCTGATAAACATGATAGAAGATCAACACGATGTATTGCATTTCAGTTGTTGATGTTGATGATAAACACTTTTGAGTTCTTGCATTGCTGGGTTTATTTTTAGTGGACAATAAGCAGTGAGTAGGGTCCTGGGAACCCAGTGATGAGTTCTTATTTGTAAATGATTTATGCTGGGAGCTGCATATATGGAAGTTAACTGGTGACATTGTTCTTGGTATAATAAGGGCTTAGGTTTGGAGAAGATGTAAAGGGTGAGTGTAGCCTAGGGTTAGGGTGTAAGGCGTAAGATGACGAACATGGGCTTTTAGGTTTTAACTAGTATGGGCTTAGTTAATTTAGATGGTTGAGATGAAAAAAAAAAGGCGATCTTAGAATTTGGGTTCAGCTAAATGTTGACTTATTGGGTTTAATTCTTTTCCCCTTTTTTTTTTTTTTTTTTTAAGAAAAATATTATAGTTTTTAATTGTAATAAAATTGACTGTTATATAAGAAATTATTTGAATTATTAAAAATAAAAAATAAAAATCTAATTATTCTCATTACAAAAAATCCTCGTGATCTGTAGCAAGGGCAAAATCTGACATTCCTCAGGATGATAGTCTTATTTTAATACTTATTTATTAGCTGAGTTGTTAAGATTACTGAATATTAGTGAAGATTTAATTTTAAGTAGTTTATTTTTAGCTATAAAAAATATTGTTTTATATCAAAGAAAATATGAATAAATTTCAATTTTCTTTCTCTAAAGCTAACTTCTTCTTCTTCTTCTTATTTGTTTATATCTTCTCTCTTCTCTATTCCTTCTCAAATCAGGATTTAGAATCTTGAAAAATGCTATTAGAGCCCTCAGTCCTTGTTACTACTACTTTTCCCCTCTTATTTCCTCTTAATATTTTATATTTTTGTCTTTATGTTCTATAACTTTTTTCTATGTTTCTACAACTTTCTCTACTTGAGTAACATACATATCTTTTGTTTTATTTTCTTTTTCCTTTCACTACATACCAACCATAAAAGCCCTCTTTTTGAAGTGAAATCTTTTCTTTTCTTGTGTCTTGTTCTCTTTAATTGAACTTCTTATTCCATTTATACCCAAATCTTTTTTCTCTTCTCTCTCATCTATCTTAAAACTTCTTTTACTGCTAATACAATGATGAGTTATAAAGAATTGAAAATATGTACAAAAGGAATGCATAACAAACAAAATCAAGCAAAATATGGGAGAAAAAGAAGATGAATGCACTACAGAACAGAACAAAGCAGAGAAGAATAACATAATAGAGCATAGAAGAAAATATGGGATGAAAAGGCAAAAATTTTATTATCTGTTTTCCACACCCTATACAACAGAGTTTTACCACTAGTGTATATATACAAGATAACTAATCGCCTACAGCTAAAAGACAACATCACAAATGAATAGAAAATAAATATAACAAACTTTACACGTCAGCAACAAATACAAAAACTGTACACACCATCAATAATCTTCCATCCTCCCTCAAGTTGGAGCTTAGTGAATGTCATACAAATCCAACTTGGATAAATGGCAATGAAAAACTGGAGCATAAAGAGACTTTGTAAACATATATGCCAGCTGGGAAGCAAAGGGAACATGTTACGAAAGTATAAAGCCTTGCTTGAATTGATCACAAACCAAATGACAGTCTATATCCAAATGCTTCGTTCGTTCATTCATGGAATATAGGATTTTGTGTGATGTAGCGCCTTGATTATCACAAAGTAATGGAACTGGTGAAGTGAGAGGAAGCTTAAGATCTTTAAGAAGGTAGGAAAGTAGAAGTAGTTTATATTCCCATATTGCAATATTTAGCTTCGACATATAAACGAAAAATGATAGATTGTTTCTTAATTTTCCATGAAATAGGAGATGATCCTATGAAGATACAGTACCCTGTTAAGGATCTTCTAGTACCAATACACGAAGTACAGTCAGCGTTGCAGTAGGCCTTTATTTGAAGACAATCATAAGTAGGGAAAAAAAGACCTTTAGAAGGACAACTCTTTAGATAACGAAGTAGGTGAGTAGCAGCATCCCAATGATGTGGATATAGAGCACTAACAAATTGGTTTAATTGCTGAACTGTGTAACTTATATGTAGCCGAGTAAGATTAAGATATAAAAGTTTGTTAACTAATCTTCGATATTGCTCTGGATTAGAGTAAGGAGTGCTTGTTGTAGTAAGCTTAAAATTCCTTAGCAGTGGAGTAGAAACTAGCTTTGAACTAACATATCTATATTTTGTAAGATATCTAATATATACTTTCTTTGATTGAGAGATTTACCTTTTTCAAACTTAGCCATCTCAATGCCAAGAAATTTTTTTGTGTAGCCAAGATCTTTAATGGTGAATTAGGCATTAAGAAATCATTTAACTGCATTAATATTTATTTCATTAGTGCCAATGATAAA